CCCATATCGATTGTACCAATAGCAGGTTTGATAATTAGAATAGTATTCATCAATAAAGCTTTTGAACTTATAAGAATTACTATTTTTCCACAACAGACAGTTACCTTCAGTTGCACTAATGTTGATCCCATCAATGATATATCTCAAAGACTGAGGAAATGTATCCGGAAACCCACTGATTCCCGAAAATTAAAGTGTCAATAGTAATATCAGGACAATATCCCTGAAAAGAACTCCCCAAGAAGTCAGTGATAGTTTGATTGTGGCACCAATGGTCCCATTTGAGAGAAATAGGAGCAGATCGAGTAATGATGAATTTAAAGAAGTGCTTGACATCTAGAGCAGTTTTGCATATAAATTTCCAAAGTTTGGAAGCAAAAGCAGGAGGAGGCATCCAAGGAGATTTATGAATACAAAGCAGCCAATTGGAAAGAGGGGAGGGAACATTGTACATCCTGTAGATAACCGAGCAGTTATAAGCATATTGAAGAGCTGTGATAGAGGGGATGCCCAAGCCACCTTTGTTTTTGGGTAAACAGATCTTGTCCCAAGCTACCATATGCAATTTTTTAACAGCCATAGAATCCCAAAAACAAGAATTTAGAGCTGGTTCTCTTGATAAATTTGTAAACAATTTTTGGCATAATAGAACCTCTAATCCAATATGCAATAGTGTTCTGAATGGTGAATTTGATATATTGCAATCTACCCGCAAAAGACAGGAGGTTAGCCTTCCAGCCATTCATTTTCTTGTTAACAGAATCCATAAGGTGCAAAAAGTCAACAATTTTTAATCTATAAAAAGATAATGGGATGCCAAGATAAGTAATATTGCTGACAATGTTGTGAATAGAAAGGGCTTGACAAACCTCCTGTACATTCCTCAGATGCCTAGGGAACATAATGGAACACTTATCATAGTTAATGTTCAGCCCCGTAGTTATAGCAAATTCCCTAAGGATAGAAGCCAGGATGTTACAGTTCTCAGTAGTGGCCTCCCCAAAAATTAACACATCATTTGCATATAGCAAGTGAGATAGAGAGTAATCATCATAAGAAATGCCTCTATAACCCCTATTCTCCAGAAGATTGGAAAAAGCATCCATCACAATACAGAAGAGGTATGGACTAAGAGGGCAACCCTTTCTAAGTCCAGCAGAAGAAGAAAAATAACCCTCTAAAGTCCCATTAAGCAGAATGGAAAAATTGACATCCATTATACAGACTTTAATCCAATTAACAAAAAGACTAGGAAAGCCTTTCTACATCATCCGCTCCAACAAAAATTCCCGGCTTATAGAATCAAAGCCTTTTTGATGTTCAGCTTAGCACAAAAATATTTGCTGCCCCTCTTCTTACCAGCATAAGATAACATATCATTGGAAAGTAAAATGTTATCTGTAGAAACTCTAGATTTAACAAATCCTTCTTGATTGTCCTTGACAATCAAATTCATCACTGTTTTCATTCCTTCTATAAGAAACTTAGCAATGATTTTATAAAAAACATTACATAAAGCAATAGGTCTATAATCAGAAATTTCAGTGGTATTTTTATGCTTAGGGAAAATAGCCAAAGCAGTGGCTTTTACCCCGTTAGGCATATAGCATTTTTGGAAAAACAATTTAACAGCCCTACAAACCACAGGGGCAATAATGTGCCAAGCATATTTATAGAAATAAAAATTGTACCCGTTAGGTTCAGGAGCCGAATTGGATTTACCCGAGAATACAACAAACTTAACTTAATCATCTAACACCAAAGAAGTGAGACGGGAAGCGTCAGACATAGGCAGAGTAGTCCTAACAGGAAAAACATAAAAGTTCAGATTAGAAGGAGCAGGAGGGTTATATAACCCTTGGAAAAACTGAATAATCAAGCTAACCACATCAGAACTAGAAGTAGAAGTAGAGTTAGCTAATAAATTAACCACATAGTTGGAGGCATTTCTTCTAGTTCTAACTTTAGCATAAAGAAACTTCAAGTCATCCTCCCCATGCCTGATCCAGTTAACTTTTGCCCTCTGAATAGCCCAAGAGGAAAGCATAGAGTTAAACTTAGAGAGTTCCACAGTGCATGTTTTGTATGAGTGATTGATAACTTCACTATTAGGTTTCTCCTGCAACTTAACCATCAGCTCCAACTGCTTAGCATTCAAACCATCCAAGTGCCTAGAAACACAAGAGGAGAAAAACCAAACCTGTCATTTAATCTCCTTCTTATGATGTTTTAAGGACTCCATAAGATGGGAAATAGGATTCCCATAACAAGGTTTAGAGAAAGCTTCCAAAATAAAATACCAGTATTGATCAAAATTTGACCAGAAATTTTTAAAAAGAAAATGACGGCGCCTTTGAACAGTCATTCCAGAGTTGAGAATGATAGGGCAGTGATCCGAACAGGATGAACTTTGGATGGAATAGTAAGAATTCATGAAGGAGTTCAACCAGCACTCATTGACTAAGACACGGTCAAGTTTGATATGAATAGGGTTGGTAGTATGCTGATTAAATCATGTATACTTGAGACCAACAGAGTTTAAATCCACCAGATTATTGTTAAAGATCATGTTATTGAAGTCTAATAAAACAGTATGGTTAATAACATTGCCTCCAGACTTTTCAGAGGCGTAACGGCACCAGTTGAAGTCACCAATTAAAGCCAAGGGGAGGTCAATAGAAGGAAATAGCTGATCTAAAGAGTCCCACAATTCCTTGCGTTCAAGAAAGTGATTGGAAGCGTATATTGCAGAGAGATGCAGCAAAGGTTGATTACCAATCAAGACAATACCAGAAATAATTTGGTTCATTATGAAGGAAGGCTTGAAGCTAAGTTTGGTTGCGTCCCACTTTACCCATATCCGACCCGAGGAGGATAAGGTAAAGTTGTTACAGCTCTCTTCATTCGAGAACAGAGAATGAGAGGATTCGAAGAAAGGATCTAGAAGAGAATTAGAGTTAATTCTATTTTCCAGAATGCAAACCAATTGTAAATTGAATGATTTGATGAGGCGCTTGCAGCTCAAGACTTTATCAGGGTGATTGAAGCCCCTAATGTTCCACGCTGCCATGGGGGGGGAAGTACATTAAAAATGTGAAAGGTCTTGAGGCTTCTTGCTCTGCTTACCCCTAGCAGGTTTTTTCGGCGCCACACTAGCTTGAGTTTGCTTTCATTTGTCCACAGTCTTAGCATGCCCGCAGGCTGTAGAGCCCATTTTATCATCAAATATCTCATCCTGATGAGAAGATAACTCTTCTTCAGAGTTCAGGATGTCAAACTTGTTTGGAGATATAATGTCTTTAGTAGTTGGAATGATTTTTGAGGTGGAGGATGAGGAGCTGGTCTCCTGGGGAGAATTAAGATTGGGAATACCCGACACCACAGCATCAACAGATAAAGGAAGGTCCGAAACTGGAATAACACCAGCAGCAGACGTAGGAGGAATATTTTAGGTGGTATGGGAGTGAGGTTGAAAATGCAGGGCTTGCCCAATAGCATTTATGAGGACAGAGGGCTGTGAAGTAGATGGGGCTGTTATTATGATATGTTCTGGATTTGGCTGTTGAGGAGTGGAATGACTTTTATTGCAAGTGTGTTGTGGATCTGGCTGAGATTTAGTGGTCGGAGGTCTGGAGTAATTCAGATTTCTGGAAGAGTGACTGTTATGGGGCTTTCTGCTGAAACTCCTACCTCTCCCCCCAGTATTAACTCTATCATGTGCTTCAGATGGCAATTTCGATTTTGTCGGGCATATGTAGGAGACGTTCATTAAATACTTACAGTTCTCGCAGGGATTAGGACGCCATTCATATTGCACTTTCAGAGTGACAACATCACCATCCAAAGAAAACTTTATTTCCTCGGGGTAAGTGGCGAGATTGTCAACAAGAACACATACACGAGCGAATGTGAGCCTAGTCTTATGCTCCGTCAGCTTGTACGCAGCCACCGGGATACCAATTTTGATGGCAATGCGAGAAATTCCCTCCGAATTCCAGCATGAAAGCGGGAGGTCATGGATTTTCACCCAAATAGGAACAGAGGAAAATTCTTCCTTTATTGGCTTGAACTTCGGATGCCACTTTTGGAGGACGAATGGCTTGCCAAGAAGAAACCAAACTCCATGCGACCACGCCATATCAAAGTCTTCTTGGCAGGAGAATCTGAGAAGGAAAAACACCTCATTTAGGGATAAAAGCTGCAGCGATCCCTTCATGCTCCAAGTTTTGTTAATAGCCCCCAACAAGGCCTCATAAAAAGGTCTGCTACCTATCGAGTAACCGATAAGGCAGAGCTTCCAATCTTCACCCCCTTTACTCAGCTTATCATCTGAAAAGAGAATGATCTCTAGCTCCGATGGGTGGTGAGTAAAGTGAAAAGCTTTAGAAGCTGAAGCATCAGGAGCAAACACCTGATTCCAGTTCCTAGGCAAAACTTGAGCCACCCCTCCAGACGAAGAGCCGAGAGGAGGAAACTCAGAAGAACTGGGGGGATCCGCCATAGAAAAACGAGAAAAGGGAGAAGTCCTCCGGCCAAGCCGGAGGAAGTGAAGGCAGAAGAGATATCAGCAATAGAGGGCGGCGCTAGGAGGAAGAAACCCTAGAGCACTCCAGCAAAAAACTTTCACTGTTGCCAAAAATTTTCTGATACCGTGACATAGCAAGCATGATTTATCAGTTACTATAATATTCCTCTTAGAAATCACCTCCATTTTCTCCTAACCAATGGGGCAGTTTTGCCGAACAGCCCTAAACTTAATTTTTTAATGTTAATCTTTGAAGTGAACATGGCAAAATTGCTTAGGTTCTGAACAACGTAGTGTTGGATTAGTCTTAGACGAAATATTTAAGTTATCGACAGGGAACAGATAATATCCTCGTCATCGCTGACATCCAAACTCGAACCCTGCCCAGAAAGTCATCACATTTAAACATGTCAGAATTTTAAAAACAATATATTAATGTTGTCGCCTACTAATATATTAGCACAGCACTCAACATTTTGGCTTTTATCTTATCCCCCAATTTCCAGCCTTCAATAGCGAATCCCCGTTTAGGACTTTCAAAACAAGACATGGGTACTTGCTTCTCGTCTTCCTCCTTCGTTAAGGCCATTGCCAACCCTCCTTTGACTGCAAAAGTTATCGACTTCGATGGCACCCTCATCGAGTACTCCGAGGCCGTGAAGGCAACTCAAGTTCTTGGCAGAAATCTAAATTCCTTTTTCCTATGCAACGCTGAAGATTTTTTCTATGATCATTTAATCAAAGCCATGGAATCTAACCATCCGGTCGAGCTCGGAAAGCTGTATTTTGTATTGCCGGCTAAAAAGCTTAATTTTCCTCTAACGGCGGAGGATATGGCTGCGTTGGCTGTCAAAGCAAGCGCGGCTTTTACCGCCGCCGCTTATGTTGAGGTTTTGCCGTTTATGGGTGTTGTCGATGTGCAAAGCTGCAAGAGGTTTAATGAAGTAAGGGTTGGTGGTTGGAAATCGGGGTGGGCTGCTTTCAGTAATGGTGAAACGAAGCAGAGTTCTTCCAGGACGAGGTTGAGTGCGATAGAAGAAATTGAATGATGATCTTCTCTTCATTTTATTTTATTTTTTTAAAAATTCTTCCAGGGTTATTTATTTTATTAATTTGTACAAACCATGAAAATTCATTTTAGTGCAGAATTTTTTATTTTTTTAATTTCTACGAAGATTATGAAGTGATTATGGATTTTTTTTAATATATCTGTTTTGGTACAAACTATGAAAATTCATTTTAGTGCAAAGCTGCAAGAGGTTTTATGTACAATGATTTGGTATAATTTATTTTGGCTGAAATATTAATTTTATATTGGGTTTTGTGTATTGGATGATGTATAACTATATTCATATATATTTTTTTTTATTTTCATATTTTTATTAACGGTAAGATAATGAAAATGCTAATAAAAAATAAGATCATTTACATACCCATCATAAAATTATTAATTATTTACATATCTATTATTTATTTTATTTTTTTTTTAATATATCATTTTAATTGTGAAATAGATGGGGATATTATTAGTCGAATTCAAATCAAATGGTTGAAGTAGAGGAATATTTCATCGGGTTGTTGTGTGATAGAAAAGTCGCTCTTAAACTTAAGGTAAAATTTAATAAGATGGTAGTGTGACCAGCAATGCTTTATGGTGCAGAATATTGATCATTAAAAAAGAAACATAATATATTTAGTTACATGTTGCAGAGATGAGAATGCTCGGGTGGATGAGTTGCTTTACTTTTAAAAACAAGATACAAAATGAGCACATACGTGAAAAGGTTGGTGTAGGTTAGGTGGAAGATAAAATTAGAGAGAGCCGTCTTAGATGGTTTGGTCGCATAAAACGGCAATCTTCCGATGAACCAATTAGGAAAGTAGATGTATTAGATTTGACTTTTGTTAAAAAAAGGTAGAAGTATACCTAAAAAGAGTTGGAAAGAAAATATTTGAATTGGCCTTTATTTATTAGTTTTACATGAGAATTTGACTCTTAACAAGACACAATAGAGAAAATTGATTCATTTAGCCAACCCCACAGAGTGGGATAAAGGCTTATTATTATTGTTGCAATAGTATTACATATATAAATAATTTAGAGTTTTGTGAAGCATATTTAAGTCGCTCTCTAATTTAAGCATTTTTATGATGTAATATATAAATATGGTGTTAAGAATATGTTCAATTAACAACTGAAAATCTTATTTTTATGATTGTAATCGATATTCATGCAGTCTTCTTCAATTATTTTTTTAATTGTGGATTACAAGTCTCAAAAGCAAAATTGTTTTTTTTTTTTCTTTTATACTTTGAAGCTGACTTATAAAGTAATGTTTCATCTAAAACTCAGAAGCCAATCGTTGAAATGCCCATTAAGGAAGCCCACAAAAAGATATTAGATATAACGATTTTTCTTACTTAATCAATAGCAGCACTTAAATTACTTTTGTTGCAGATTGATTTTAAAACACATAATTTTATATAGGGCAATTTTTTAAACTAAGCATCGTATTAATTATAATTAAACGATTAACCATCGAAAAAAAAAATTTAAAACTCGCCAAAGTCGCCCGTTTAACGGGCGACTTATATCAGCGAAGTAAGTCGCCCGTTCAACGGGCGACTTACCCCTCAATAACTCAACTAACCGTTAATCCTTGAAGTAATGGGATTGTGTAATTGTAGTAAGTCGCCTGTTGAACTGGCGACTTACTCTTGTGAATAAAAAAAAAATGCAACTAAAAAGATTATGATTAATTATTATATATTATGTTTTATGAATAAAAGTTGGATTTGGTATATATATATATATATATA